CCCTTTTATCCAGCCCAGGTTCCCAGCACAGGGAATGGCGCCGCCCACAGTGGGCGGGCCTTCCTTCCCACTTCAGTTAATAGTCAAGGTAATTCCATCTTCTAGGCGATTTTGGAGCGCATCAGTTTGGCAATTGAGATGCGCCATCACACTATTTTTACGACTTTATCACAATTTGTTTTCAATTTTTATTTCCATATGTGTGGGTTTTTTACCTGTATTTATATTATATCTGTGTACTGTCTGAGTTCCCACTGCCCAGGGTTCCCATGGAGGCCAAGAGAGACTTTGGATGCTCCAGAACTGGAGTTACAGGTGGTTGTAAGCTACCACATAAATGTTAGAAATTGAGCCCTGCTCCCCTGGAAGTACAACCAGTGCTCTTAACCCAAATCGCTCCTCTAGCCCTTACCACAAGTTTGCATGGTTTTCCTGTAATACGCCTTAGTGTGTTTTGTCCCTGACTCTTCATAGACATCTTCAGGTCCCAGAGTTTCTAATTCTCTCCAGATTTGTAAATATTCCCAACATTATTTCTCCAAAGAAAGACTTACTGATTTTGTTTATTATCTTATCTTTTAACTTACCTGTTCATTTCATGCATATGAGTGTTTTGCCTGTCTGTGAGTCTATGTAGCATATGCCTGCCTGGCACCTACAGAGTCCAGAAGAGGGCATCAGATCCCCTGAAACTGGAGTTGCAGACAGTGGTGAGCAGCCATGTGGATGCTGGGGATCAAACCCAGATCCTCTGGAAGAGCAGTCAGTGCTCTTAACCACGGAGCTGACTCTTCAGCTCTTTTTTTTTATCATCTTAACATATCTTCCTCTCCTTCAGGGTGCCAGCTGGACATATATATACACACACAAGGCTTCATGAATATGAAGGTGTCCCCGGCTGAGTGACACTTGGCTATGTTTCCTTCCATTCATCTTTCCTTTTTTATTTTATTCATCTTTCTTTTATGCTTTACTAATATTTTTTCCATTTTGCATCCCATGCAACTTATTCTTATCCCAGACCTTGTATCGTCCTTTCCCCCAATGCGAGTTGTTTGAGTCTCTTCCATCCTGTACATCTCTACTTTAAGTGTTCCTTATTCTGACTTTAAACATGTGGGCTCCAGTTATATGTTTACTGTCCTTGCATTACCTCAAGTTCAAGGCTAACTTGTGCTGCAGAGTGAGTCCCAGGTACTGTATCCTCTGTGAGTTTCAGGTGACTCTGCCCTAGGCTGGCATAGCTTCTTCCTACCAGCACATACTGCAGACCATCAGGGAGTCTGTATGGCTCCTCTCTGACGCTGTTCCCTGTGAACACTAGCCATCAGGGTCACCTCAGGGTCTCACAGTTCCCTTTTCCTACCGTGGGTCCCTCAATCTCTACCTGTACCACCCGGAAACCATCCCGGGGCGCACACTGGAGGTCTTGTGGCTTGCATCTGCTTCTCACATGTCAGGAATCTTTGTCAATGGCCTGGCAGCCCCTGTCTTCAAGTACCATCCCATGTGTGTTTCCTCTAATGCTTTGATTGTTTCAGGTGACAGAAAATAAATAAATCAAGTGCCCGTCCCTCCATCTTGGCTAGAAGCAGAAAGCTCTTCTTTCCATGTCTGAACTTATTAATCGTGGGGAGTCAAGCTTATTGATTTAGTGTGTGGCCGCTGCCTCTGCTGTGGTGCCTACTAATTAAATGTTCACTCATCATTATTCTGAGAGGTTTTTTAAGGCCTCATTTTTGTACAATTAAATATCTAGTTCTTAAAAAAACTTCTTTTGGTCTATAGTATAACAGCATAATCTCTTGTCTTCTCAAGACTGACTGCTAGTAACTTAGTTTAATCCTAACTGAAGTCAAAGTATTCAGAAATTCAAAACCCACTTCAGCAACTGAATTTCAGTTACTAGTTCTCTCTGGTTTTCTCAAGGGGATGTCATACACTTCCTGCTGGGTGTGGTCTCCAGGAGGAACAAGGGAGGCAAGCCCACTGTGAGCCTCCCCGTGCCTTCCCACAGTACTGACGTGTTGGGGCTACACCTGACTGTCAGTGTCTGAAGATGAGGACAGTGGCCCGAGACGAAAGGTGTAGTTCTGGCAAGGTGGACCCTTCTTTCTATTCAAAGCCTTACGTGGCACCCTGTTTCGCATGGCTTAAAGTCCATATTTCTTAGTGTGACTTTATAGGCCTTTTGTTGTTTTTCTTGGCTTGACACCAGCTTCGTATTTTCTGCTCCCAACTCTCGCACTCTGGAGTAAATGAACTACATTTCTTTCCCCCTAAGAAGGCTTGGATTTTTGATTTGTAAGTAAAAAACTCGACCAGCTCAGCCTTCTAAACTCTTATATTGAGAGATACTCCCCTTTGGTTTGTAAGAGTCAACCACTTTGTCCTTGGGTGTCTGTTGATTTACTTGACCCAAGGCCATCATGAAACACAGGATGACGCGGATTCCGACGCTGACCATCTGCCTGATACAGTGTTGGGAAAACACTGATGCAGTAAGAATGGACCGGCTGATGGATACCGATGATTAGGTTGGGGTGCTCACCTGCATACACCAATGATTCAGGTAAACTGAGGCATGCAGCCATGTGCACTGCCGCCCAGCCTGTCACATCACAAGAGGGAATGTGTCTGCCGGCACCGCCACCTTTACTTCTTTAACAAGTGACCTTTTAAATTTTGAAACTATCATATTTTGAAGAAAATTGATTTATTGGCTAATAACTAAATGTGTGGCCTGATTAGCCAGGGTTCAAAGATGAAACAGTCTATCCTATAACTAGTTCAAACAGAAATGAGTGGTTGTTTGTGTGTAGGAGGGGTTATTTATAATAAAACAAGAGAGGAAAAGTGACATCCCAATATTTTTCAAAAATCAAGGAAAAGAATAGAAATGACACAGAATGAACTAGTGTTCATTTATTGGTATGAGAACACACAGACGAGTCAAATGCCATTCTGCTACTCACGGAAGCTTCGAGTTGTCCAGAGGCCTCTCAGAGTGGGCATGACCACGGTCTCTAGTTGATAGCAATTTCTCTCCTTGGTTTAATAAAGAACTGTCAAGTCACCTGAGCTCCTTGCTGCAAGAAAACATCACATGCCTGTCGCCAGACTTTTCTGTTCCGCCAACCACTTCCCAAATAACCACACAGAGACTTCTTATTAATATAAATGCTTGGGCAATAGCTAGACTTGTCTCCAGCCAGCTCTTAGAACTTACATTGACCCGTTTCTATTCATCTGTGTGCTGCCCCGAGGCTCGCTAATCCTCATCAATGAACTTTACATGTTGCTCCTTCTGTACCTGGCTCTCAACTTCTCTAGCTCTGACCTTCTTTTTCCCAGCATTCTCTCTACCCCCAACACCTGCCTAGCTGTTGACCAATCAGCTTTTATTAGCAGTGAGAATAACACATTTTTCCAGTATACAGAGGGATTATTCCACAGCGTATACTAGTCCAGAACATGGACCTTCCTGTCCCATCCAGAGCTGGATTCAACTGGCTCTGCCCATCATACCCTCAGTCAACTTATGACATTTTCAGCATCCTAATAGGCTGGCTGCCCTCTTGATTTGTCCCTGACCACACCCACTGAGTAGCCAGTAATCTCTCCATGTGTTTATCTCTTCTGGGAATCTTATGTAGATGATATCATACGTATGTGGTCTCTTATGCTGGCTTTGTTCACTTAACATAACTCTCACAAGACCCATTCACGTAGGAGCAGAGAGCACGATAGTCCTTCTTGTGGTTTTTTTTTTTTTTTTTTTTTTTTTTTTTTTTTTTTTTAGACAGCGTCTCATGAAGCCCACGCTGCCATCAGACTCACTATATAAAACTAGGGAGAGTGACCTTACAGTTCACCTGCTTCTACTTCCTTATTACAGGTGTACTCCACCACACCTGACCCTTATTCCTTTTTATGACTGGATATTATAGTCCATTTCATTTATTCTATTATATACTACATTTATTTATTCGCCAGTTACTGGGCATTGGGTTATTTCTACCTTTTAGTGATTAGGAATAACACCACTCTGAAACTTGTCTGAGTATTTTGTAAGAATATCTTTTCCTTTCTCTTGGGTATGTACCTAACAATATTATTCTCTTCTCTTTTTTTAATTTTTAGTTGTGTATGTTTGTGTGTGTCCTTGAAAAAGCGAGATGGATGTAGGATCCCCTTGAGCTAGAATTACAGGTGGTTGTCAGCCCCCTGACATGGGTGCTGGGAATTGAATTCAGGTCCTCAGCAAGAACAACATGTACTCTTAACCTCTGAGCCACCACTCCAGTTTAGTGGAGTGGTTTCCTAAGGCAAACACTAACTTCAGGTACTAGGCTTCATTGGTTGTTTGGCTGATTGGTTTCTCGTTTGTTGACAGGTTGGTTGGTTGGCTGGTTGGCTGGTTGGTTGTTTTTTTTTTTTTTTCATGAATTCTGGTTCCCAAGATGTCTGTGCTGTTCTGCATCCCTGCCTGCTAGTATAGAGAGCCCTGTCCCTGCCTTCCCCAGTTCCCAGTACTTGTCTGCTTTTATAGATGTCTTAGTCAGCACAAAATGATTTTTTGTTTCTGATGATGATGTCAAGTTTTGTAACATAGTCTATGTCTTTTTTTTTTTTTTTTAAAGAAAAGTCTATTAAAGTCCTGTGCCAATTTTTAAATTTGGGCTTCTTGTCCTTTTACTGTTGAGTTGTAAGATGAAGATACTTTTGAATTTATTAGATAGTATTCTATCTGTTTGAGGTAGGTGGGCGCATATATGCCGCGGTGTACATGTGGGGGCAGAAGACTGGCAGGAGTCAGTTCTCTCTTTCTGCCTGTGGGTTCTGGCCATGGAACTCATGTCAGCCTTGGGAGCGAGCACCTTTACCTGCTGAGCCATCTCGTTGGCCCGGATAAGTTCTCAATGTTAATTTGTGTTTGTATTATCATCAAAAAAAAGTATGTGAGAAAGAACTGAAAGGCAACTCTCATTCTTCTGCAGGGACTGAAGGTTCATAAGAACAAAATAGCAGTCAATGAGAGAAACAAAAGGACTGGGCCATCAAAGAGCAGCGTGCTTGCCCCGCTGGCCACCATGCGGAAAGGAGTACTGAAGGACCCAGAGATTGCTGACCTCTTCTACAAAGATGACCCTGAAGAGCTTTTTATCGATTTGCATGAAATCGGACATGGGAGCTTCGGAGCTGTGTACTTTGTAAGTAATTGGCCGATGGGGTAGAGTAGGCTCAGGAAGAATAAGCCCTGCTGTCTACTGGAGAACACACTCGTGTTCCCTGTAGAGATGCACGGTCATTGCTGGAGGCAGTTCTGGAGCGCTAGGCTCTATTCCAACCATGGTAAGGCAAAGTGATAAACTTGAAGTCGATCCCTGTGTGTTTCCTCGAGATGCCAAGCTCCTTCAGCCTCTTCTCTTCTCTATCCCTTCACCCCAAAGCTTCCAAACCCCACGTCCCAACTGTGGAGCCCTTATCAGTCTGGCAGATATCAGCCTAAGCATTACTTCTACAAGACAGTTTTTACTATTCAACCCTCTACCTCTTAACAGCCTGTGTTTATGTTTAGGTATATGCTATCACAGTGATTAGTCATGTGTGTCCCTTACCCTAAATAATATGCACCATGATAACAGTGCCATGTCCATCTCATTCATTACTGTGTTCCCAGCAACTAGTATAATGTCTGCCTATGGTAGGAATTACATAAATGTAGGGAAATAGATGGGTGGGTGGATAGATGAATGGATAGGTGGATGGATAGGTGGGTAGGAGGATGGATGGATGGATGGATGGATGGATGGATGGATGGATGGATGGATAAATGGGTGGATAGATGCATAGATGGATGGATGAGCAGATAAATGGATGGGTAGGTGAATAGATAGGATGGCCCTGTAGGCATAAGGAAGCAACAGCAAACAGCATCGACTGTAATTTTTTTAATGAGCAATTACTTTCTTTTTAGATTTATTTATTTATTATGTATACAGTGTTCTGCCTGTGTGTATGACTGTATTCCAGAAAAGGGCACCAAATCTCATTACAGATAGCTGTCAGCCACCATATCGTTGCTGGGAATTAAACTCAGGACCTTTGGAGGAACAAGCAGTGCTCTTAACTGCTGAGCCATCTCTCCAACCCATGAGGGGTTACTTAATGGCTCTGTCTAATTCTATTCGACTCTCCCCTCCCTTCCCCTCTCCTCCTCTTCCCTCCGCTTCCCTCTTCTCCCCTCCCCTCCCCTCCTCCCCTCTCCCCTGTGATGTCCCTGTGATGGTGGCTCCCAGGCCTCACACATGCTGGGGAAGTGCTCTACGATACCTCTATCCTGTTTTCTTTTTGTAAACGTGAAGAATTTGATTTTTTACAGATTAAAATATGACTTCATGACCAAGCATGTACTGTGCGTAATTGTTTGTTTATTTCTGGTTCTGGGCTGGAACTCAGGGCCTTACTCGTGCTAAGCTATGGCCAACTCCCAGACCAAGGTTTTGTTTTTAATG